AGGGAGAGCACATGATTACAAGCTTTGAGAGGGGATGAGAGAATTATGCTCAAATGAGTCTGATGTCCCCCAAGTGTCAGAAGAGCTTACAATTTATAGTGGTTTGGTGTAGTAATTGTATGACTATTCTGACAGTCATTATAACTTAGAACCGTTTGATAGTAATTAGGTAGCTGATCCGACGGAAACGATCTATCATCTTCTCAACGGCGCAAGGTGTGACGGTTGGTGTGCTCTCCAAAGGACTTAGTCAAGGATGAGGGAGGTTGACTCTCTTCAGGCTGCGAGGGTAAGGCTTCTAGATGCTCTCTTGGTAGCGTAGAGGAGGCTCTTGGATGACCGTGCATGCTCCCCTGTTGATATAGCTCCTTGATCTTGATAAGGTTATCCGGGTGTAGACTCCTTTGGGCTTGACTAGCTGGATCTCTTGGAATTGAGCCTTTAGTTCGGACTAAGCTTATAACATGGGTTGGGCCTTTGGCCCTGGCCCATCAATTACTATCTCATTGTTACTATCTATTTTATAATATAACTATTTATGTCATCAATGATAAATTAATTTTAATGTTTTTAATTGTCCTTTAAGCCTCAAAAGGTATGCTCATGAATTAATTTATATCTATACTACTATAAAATGTCAACAAAAATGGAAAAATTATGTTAGACCATAATACCCCTAAAAATGATTAAAGATAATTATATCATTAAATATTTAATTACTCAATACCAATTGAATATCCAATAACCCTTCATATACTTTATACCCCTATAAAAATGATTAAATACAATTATATCATTATGTATTTAATTACCCAATACCATTCAAATATCCAAATAACCCTTCATATACTTTCATTTCCACATAAATAATCTATATGCATATCTATATCTATATCTATATCTATTCATCTATTTATACTTCAAAAAATAAATATTTAGTGTACATCCAATTTATAATATAGATAATACTAATATATATCTTGATTTTATTAGCATTTTTCATATCATAATCACAGTAATTAATATTTAAAAGTTTTAGGTTGATCATCTTCCAAACAAGCTTGGCACATCATTACAACAAGATTGCACCAACATCTTGATAGATCAAAAAAGAATCGAACAAAGTAAAGAAGTTTTTCCTTTTAGCAAGGTCATTTTTTCAATTTCGTGAATTTATTTGTTACTTTTACCAATTCTCTTTTTCGTGCAGAGAAGTAGAAAAAAATTGTGCTCTCAAATCATATTATATTTTTATCCTTGAGATCAAAAACAATAAAAATGTTACTATTGATGTTGCCATGAAAAGATGGAAATAATACTACACTTAACTTTTTTTATTATACCTTTTACCTGTTTGTTTTAAAAAAATCAAGAGAAAATGCTTTTTTTAACTCATAATTTAATTTATTATTTTATCTAAAAAAGATGTCATCTTTTGGAGAACTTGATAACAAAACTACAGAGTGGTAGAACATGTGGCTTGCCCTTGACACTTTGATGTTGAGAACCTCTTGGAAAAAATGTATGGAGTAGTCGCCATTTTAAATTTTATAACAATTGGATGTTCTAATAACTCACTTTGAGATGAGGTCAATTTTAAGTGTTACTATAAAATCATGTATTACGCTACGTTACATAGTAAAATTTGTAGTTTTTTTCATCAATACATGTGTGATCTCTTATGCCAATGGTTATATTATTTTTTGATTCGGGATTCTCATATGTTTTCTAATTTCACTTATGGGTCAAAGATAGTACAATAATAAATTTTGAATTGAGTAAGATTCTGATAGGAATTTACCTTTAATAATATTTCAATTAACACTAGCATGTCTCCTGCTTTGATTTGAATTAACATTTCAATTAACACTAGAAAATCACTTAATCCGTTGTTAGAGTGGTTTTTTACGATGAAGTGGTCAAAGACCACTTTTTTTTTTTTTAAAGATTTAAAACAATAAAAATCTTATAATCTACATAACAAAACTATTTTATACTATTTGATATTTAAAATAACTCGCGTGCAACGCACGTGTACTTTCACTAGTTGACTTAAATGTCCACATATATAGACTAACCTCCAATTAACCCAAATTAAATTTAAATTGGATGTTTAGACCTAGTTCTCAAACCCATGACACTAGAAAAATCATAAAACTAGAATTAAAAAAAAAGTTGCAATAAAATTAGAGTTACCTCAAAAGTCCTTACTCTCTCTCTCTCTCTCTCTCTCTAACAAATTAAAGGGCAACTTCTGCCTTTGCTTGTTAGGTGTTTTATACACCAAAAAATTCAAAAAGTCTATTGGCATTATGATTAAGTTTGGATAATTGGTGGCTTAGTTCAAGCTACAGTGATAATCAGATTTTGTGAAAAAATGGAAAACAACAATAAATTAGATCCTATTGTTTAATACCTTCGTATTTTTTATTTCAAACTTCCATTAAATAGATTACCTAAAATTAACTATGTTACAAGAAATATTAAGTAGATTAATAATACTATAAATTAAAAAAATATAAAAACAAAACTTAAATATAAAAAATTAATTAATACTTTTACATCTCAAAAAACGAGAAAAATAAATTTTAAATAAATTATTAATATTAAAAATAAAAATTTATTTTTTATTAGTCGCTTAAGAGCCATAATTCTTATTCTGTATCAAAGAAAATCCAACTGCAACTAGTCAACAAGAAGTCAACCGCACCTTTCCTTTTATGTACTCTTGTTCATTTCTGATTTCTCATTTGTATCGTCGTCTTCTATCCTTCTCTCCTCTTAAATGATAAGCCTCGTTCAGTAACAATATGTTCTCAAATCGAATCCCATGGAAAATTGACGATGCACAAAATAGTTTATTACAAGATTAATGTTTGAGTGTGTGATAAAATATAATTAATGAACAATAAATAAAATAATTAATGACAATAATTTAAATGGCGGATCAACATGCAGATATATAGTGGTTCAGTTTGGGTGACCTATTCCAGTATAAGAAACAACAACGCTGGCCGATAGACATTTTATTAATTAAATAAGATGAACAAGAAAGAGTAATGGTTAGCCTCAGGAGAAATACAATAACTAGGAGAGAGAAAAATTATGTGTGAGGTGTAGAAATGTCTCCTTCCCTATAAAGAAAACTTATAATTTATAGACATAGAAGTTTAATTGAGACGGTGACTTGAAAGTAAATGCACTAGTCTTTCAAGAGGACAATTACAATAAATAAGTGTAATTAAAGTTTGTCTAGGTCTTTAATAGCTAGTATCCTGGGATTCAGATTCTCTCCATTACCCTTTCCCTCCAATTTTTCTCGATGGTCTATTAGATGATTGACACCTCAAAAAAATTATTTTAACGGACAAATTTTTTTTGAATAAACTACGGTCTTTAACTTTAGTTAACTACATCCCCTCCGCGCGATTTATAGGAAATGAATAACAGTAGCATAAAAGCATCTGCAACTCTCTCTCTCTCTCAACACATCTGCGGCTCGCCATACTCCACTACATCTATTTGAGAAAAAATTAGTCTTTGTCATCAAAATTCACCCCCCCCCCCCCCCCCCCGTGGTTCTCTCATTGCCATCGGAGTTGGAAAAATCCTCCAAATTTTTTGCTCACCGGGGATCAATATGAGAATCTATCTTCCTCATCAACTCCAACCCAAATTCGACATTTACCTCGTCGTCTTCGTTACAGTTGAATGTGCAAAAAATTCAGTTTCAACTTCCAATTCAGTTTTGATCTAAATTTGGGGACTTAAAGTTCTAGACTGTGTGGGTTTGTTTAACTTGATTTGCGATGGTTGTGGGACTGGTTCGGGAGTTGGACAGTTGTCCCATCACCGAAGTTGGAGTTTTTTTTTTTTTAGGACATAATGGAATCCGGAGTTAACTAAAGTTAAGGACTGTGATTTATTCAAAAAAATCTTGTCCGTTAAAATAATTTTTTTTGACGTGTCAATAATTTAATAGAACATTGAGAAAAATTAGAGGAAAGGGTATTGGAAAACGTCTGAATCCGGTATCCTGATGATTTTTCCTCACGGACTCTAATTTTCGTGGTCTCCTTAAACTTGAATTAAACCAAATTCAGGAGTTGAACTCAACTGTACTTTTAACTGACTTGGGCCCATCTCTTTAATTAGACTTGACCCAGCTGAATCTCGGCTCTTTAAAAACCATTACCAGCACAAGGGACTTTTCTCTCTCTGTCTCCTCCTTTTCCAATTTTCTTCTCTCTCGTCTGCTTACATTCCAAGCGAAAAGTACTTCATCAACTGTGGTTGAGACTCCGACGTCACTGTCAACGGCTGAAACTTCATCGCCGACGGCAACTCCGACAATTTCACCCTATCTGACAGTGTTAAAAGCACCGACACATGAACACCCAATTCTCCTCTCTACCAAACTGCAAGAATTTTCAGGAACCCATCTTCGTATGAGCTTGAAATAGTCAAAAACAGCACTTACGTGGTACGCCTCCATTTCTATGCCTTTTCTTCTCCGACCAATCTCTCTGATGCTCATTTCAACGTTACGGCTTCTGTGTATTCGCTGTTATCGAATTTCAGAGTCCAAAGCAGTGGTAATTACGATTCACCTGTGATTAAAGAATTCTTGCTCACCATTAATGCTGCGAAGTACCCAATTTACTTCTTACCTTATCAAGAATCATCTTTTGCATTCGTAAATGCAATAAAAATATGTCACTCCTGCTGGAAATAACAGTAATTACAGTGGTTTGCTGTCTAATATTCTCAAAATAGTCCATCGGATTAATGTCGGAGGCCTCACCATCACGCCGGAAAATGATACTACTCTCTGGAGGAATTGGCTACCCGATGATGATTATCTTGTTAAGAAGGATGCTGCAAAAAACAGTGATTATTATTTTGCTACGCCTAATTATTAAGATGAATTGGCAACTGAAGATTCAGCCCCTCTTTATGTCAACCAGAGTGCCAGACAGTTAAACGGAGACGATAGTAATATGTCTAGTTTTTCCAATATAACATGGCGATTTGAGGTGAGAGAAAATGCTACACACCTTGTCCGGGTGCACTTTTGTGACATTGTCAGTAGGACCCTCAATTTTTCGATATTCAATTTCTACATTTTCAGCAAGTTCGATCAGTTGATCAATCCATACCACACATTTCCCCAGTTGGTAGTTCCTTTTTACTATGATTTTGTGGTTGATACGGATGATTCGGGTTTTTTGAATGTCAGTATTGGTCTCCGGAATGATTCGAAGCATCAGTCAGCCTTTCTGAATGGGCTGGAGATTATGCAGCTAATCAAAGAAGTGGGATCAGCTCCAAAGACAACGGAGCCAACTACAAAACATTGGCGTATGATAGTTCGTTCAGTTGTTGGAGGTGTGGCTGTTATCCTCATATTGGTAATGGTGGTTTTGTTTGGTTTGAAATACAGTAAGATTACTCAACAATCCAGCAGAGGCTCACCTCTTCCAAATTTGAACCTCGGATTAAAGGTAAGTTTTGCTGATTTACTGTATGCAACAAATAATTTTGATACCAAATTGAAAATTGGTGAGGGAGGGTTTGGGAAAGTCTACTAAGGAACTCTTTGGAACGCAATGAAAGTGGCTGTGAAAAGAAGTGAACCAGGACATGGCCAGGGCCTTCCAGAGTTCCAAACTGAGATCATGGTCGTATTGAAATTCACCATCGCCATCTTGTTTCTTCGATTGGGTATTGTGACAAAAGGTCCGAAATGATACTGGTTTATGAATTCATGGAGAAGGGAACTCTGAGAGACCATCTCTATAATTTAAATGAAGACTCTAGGTGATCATTGTCTTCACGATCTGAATTGGATTGGAATTGAAGGCTTGAAATCTGCATTGGAGCAGCAAAGGGTCTTCATACCTTCACACTAGTTCAGGTGGGGAATCATTCATCGCGATGTCAATTCAACCAACACTTGCTTGATGAACATTATTTGGCTAAAGTTGCTGATTTTTGGTCTTTCAAGATCAGGTGCCCCTGATCAAACCTATATCAGCACAGGTTTAAAAGGAAGTTTTGGATATCTCGATCCTGAGTACTTTAGGTGACTGCAATTAACTCAGAAATCGGATGTGTACTCTTTCGAGGTGGTTCTGCTTGAAGTTTTTTGTGCTAGACCAGCCATTAGAAGCTTGCTTCTGCGGGATCAAGTGAACTTGGCTGATTGGGGGATGTCTTGGCAAAAGAAAGGACAGCTCGAAAAAATTGTTGATCCTTTCCTGGAGGACAAAATTAATCCCAATTCACTGAGAAAATTTGGGGAAACAGTGAAGAAGTGTTTGATGGATTGTGGGATTGGCAGGCCCGGAATGATCGATGTGTTGTGGGATCTGGAATATGCACTGCAGCTCAACCAAACCACAGTTCTAAGAGAGCCATATGAAGACAGGACCATAGATGCTTCATTGGAGTTGTCATTGCATGTCGTTAATCGCTTACCGTCTAATAGCATCACCATGGATGAAGATGAATGGACCCTGGGAGCGATTGATGGTTCAGATACAATTTTTAAATGCTGGTGTGTTCTCCAGTTGAAAGTTGATGATGCCAGATAAACTCATGCAGGGCTAGGTACTATTACTTTCTGTTGTTTGTTTCTATTTACATTAAGTGAGATCTTCTGCTTCAATTTGGCGTAGACATTAAAATGGACAAATGACGATAAAAAAACAATAATTACTGATTTTTATTTTTACTAGAAAAGATTCTTTCATTAAGTAGTAGAGAAACCATTACAATCATTTGATTTTTGGTCAATCTTTGAATCTATGATAATGCTATTTGATCAATTGAGCGATTAGGGCAATTTTTTTTTTTTGCTTATATCTGCTGTTGAGCTTGAGCAGATTTGGCAATTTGAACATATTTATGAAAGTTGATGTAAGAGCTTTGTAAGCTTGAATCTATATTTTTAATATTGTTGGGATGTTGTTGATGCTAGAAATTTTTAATATTTTATAAGTTGAGTAATGTTAGATGGACTTAAAAATTAGACTTGATAATCTCAACCATTGAATAGGTAGTCGGTCTCAATAAATGTTGAGACCCACAGTGAAATTAATAGTTAAGATTATCAAGTCTAGATTTTAAGTCTATATAACATTGCTTGTTCAAGTTTGATGCTATTTTTCATAATTATTATGAATTTTAGCTTATTTATAATTATATTTTTATTATTAATTATATTACCGATTAGATTAGTGACCCAACGGTTAACCCAATGAGTAGTGACCCATTGATCCGCTTTTTTCGCTGGGTTGATTTCCGGCGGGTTTTTAAAACTATGGGTAGAAGTATCAGATGAAGGGAATAGGATTGAGAATATTGGGGGATTCACAGAACGAAGGCTTTGGGGAAGAAATAGGGGACCGAAAGTGGCTTTAGGAAATTAAAGGTAAGAACAGGATTGGAAAAGGGCACTGGCTATATAGGAGAAGAAAAGATGGGGAGTTAATGAGGGAGACGGAGCTTTTGAAAAAGAGAGGGTGACAAGTACCTGGCAAAATTCATAGAGGTTTCCATTACAGGGATTTTCCAAGGGGCTATAGAACTGTGAATAGGGGTGCTAACCAGACAGGATGGACGATTGTAACGGTGAGAAAATAGACAAGGAGAGGAATAGAGATAGGCTCTTGGAGATTAAGAGACCTTGAAAAACAGAATCGGCATTGAAGCAATCGAAAAATGCAATGAACTTAGAAAATAACTCGGGGGTATGGCTCCATAGGGAGTGCGAAGGGCTCTCCCGTGATTCAAGGTCATTTGAGGTTTAAAGTGAAAACAAGAAATGAAGAACTTTTTATTTTGAACATTAATTTTTTCAAAAAATTAATTTATTTGTGAGAGAGAGACAGAAGAAGGATGTGTTAGTGTTAGTGTTATTGAGAAAAAAATATTTTAACTTTTATTTTTTATTTTTTTTACTAGAGAAAGAGTTTAATTTTATTTTTTTTTTTATGTTCACTTAGTGCAAACTAGAAGGACCGGAACTGTTGGATATTATACGAACTCCATTGTATACAACTTATAACTGAAACGACAATAAATTTAATAATTTTTGAAATAAATCCAAGAGAAATCACATGCAAAGAAGTATATTAGATAAATACTTAATTTCACCTTCATAACTTAAACTTATGTATCTCTCTTAATAAGGTGTGTCCACTACATAATCCATTAAAGGCAAGATTTTTATTTCTAACTCGGGCAAGATTTTGTTAGCCACACAATTGAAGATCTTATACAGATTAGATATCTATCATAA